GAGGGGGATGTCAAAGGAAAGCTTTATTTTAAAGCTGGATTACCCTGACGGATGAAAGAATGGATGGATGGACGGAAGAGTCAAAACTGGACTGGAAAATTCTACACTGATCGCTTAAAAAAGGTTTGTGTTTACCCAGAAATGTAGCTAAAGTCTTGTCTCGTCTCATTGTTGTGAAGGCAACATCATGCATGGCATTTCATGAGCTGGTTGCAGCGCCAGTATTGTTGATTTCCAGTGATGCAAAAAAGAGAGCTCTGTAAGCTTGGCTTGTTTTAAAGGAAATTCATCTATTCGTTGTAGTGTGGGGCAGTTCTCGGACTGCTTCTATCATGCCTACAGGCCCACATACACTTGAAGCTATCATATTCGTTCTCAAGGCTTATTCCAACGGTCTGTTCTGCGGGTCCGTATTGAACAGGGAAAACGGCATTGTTCTGCAGGGAATTAACTACAAAGTTTCAATCTGCAGTTGTTTGTTACCGTAGATTTGTTTAAATCTCTTCTTAAAAAACTTCCACATCAGACTCTCAACTGTTTTTACTCAATTTTAAGTCAAGTCAAGTTTATTTATATAGCGCTTTTCAGCAACAAGGCACTCAAGGCGCTGTACACATGGAAAAACATTACAATGATACAGAAGATCAAACAATAGAGGCAATTCAAAAAAATTAAAATAAAAATAAAATAAAGAGAATAAAATGATGGACAAGAAAATGAAAAGAAAATTGGACTGAAAATTTAACTAACAATGTTTTGATGGCACAGTCAAAGGCCACTCTAAACAAATAAGTTTTTTATCTTGATTTAAGGCAATTTAGGGTTTCAGCGCTTTTTTACACCTTTATGCTACTTTTAGTCTTGATGTATTATCTTTTAGGTTTTATGGCTGAGTGTCTTGTTTGTTGTATATCAAATGTTTTAAAAGAGTTTTCTTGTGCTGCTGCCTGACTTAAACAAGAAGCTCTTGCAAAAGAGATTTTTGTTCTCAATCAGTCTTCGTTCTTACGGGAATAACGTATGCTGCATATACTCTTGCTTACCTTAATTCCTGGATGAATTCTCAAACATGTGACTGACTGAACCCTTTCAGTTCAAGAGAATTATGAACTTATTAATCCTGTGTAACCTAAATGTAGGGAGAGATGGAGTCATTTTGAACTGAATGTGGGGGAGAATAAAGTTTAGACAGGCTTGTGAAAATGAAACATTACCTGCTTTCAACTACGAGTCATCATTCTGCGTGACCTTCAGCATGTTCAGAGGAGATCTGACTCTGGGTGTTCAGACATGTGAGGAAAAGCCACATACTTCCCAGCGGTATGTAAAACACAACCTGACTGTTGTTCCCTGAGAGCTGGAACAAAGTTTGAGGGCCAAAGCCACTAAATCACTCAGCTTGGCTGTTACCATGGCTCTTGTGTTAAAAACAAAAGGCAGAGCTCTCCCCCTGAAGCCCCTCTCCATCACTCACTCTCTCTTTTTCTCTCAGCCACTTTTCATAAACATCCAGCTGCAGATCGTCAGCAGCGTGTCCGGTTACACGATTGGAAAAACAGACAAAGAAAGAATGATTCAAGAAAAAAACAATAGAAACCAAAGTTCTTATAGACTTTCATTTAATACACCACTTCATCTCCTTCTCTGCTGATGCAAAAGCTCAGCTCAGCTAACTGAAGCCGCCAAGGCTCCGACACACCAGTAACCTCCGCTTCGTGGATTTAGATGAAGGTAGAGACTTCCTTCTAGTCCCTTGTATCCCTGCCTGTCCCTCCTCCCTGTGATCCAATTTATCATATTTCATTTTAACGGCATTTCACTTTGCTAAGCAACAGCCAAGGAACATAACAGCCATTCATGGGGGAGCTGTAAATTAAACGACAGTCCGTTTCTGCAGTATAGATTAATCGACTGTCCCAAAAAAAAAAAACTGCCTGGTGTTCCCATTGATCATAACAGCGCTCCTAACTGAGCAATTCATTCCTTGGTACGGAATAAATGGCTTTCACCACACAGCCGTTAGCGGGTCCGTCCCGTTCATGTAGAAATGGCCCCCATGAACCTCAAAAATCATTTTGATTTTGGGATTGTTTGCCATGTCACAGTGAGATGTGTGTTAAAGATGCCTCCCTTAAAGCAAATCTGAATCGCAATCGAAGAGAGCTGCAGACCTCTTCAAGTACAGGATGTTTCCTGACAGTTTCCTTCATCATATGATACAAGATGTTTGCTTCCTGTCCCAGTGTGATGGCTGCACTTTATACTGGTGCTGAGAAAACATATTTGTACGTTTACAGACTTATTCTGTTCATGTTTTTTTGGTCAAACTAAAATGAATCGGATTATCTATCATATTAATATCAAAGATAACCAGATTAGAAAGCAGTTTTCAAACTAAGATTTCATTTATTAAGTGTTACAAAAGCAATCCAAAACCAACATGGTCTTGAATGGAAAAAGTAATTACCTCATATTAAATCATAAATAACCTGTAATTAACCACATTTTTATGAAAACAGAGTTCAATTCAATATGCCACACACTTCTCCTATGCAACCAAGAAATCACTTAAATAGAGCCCATATGACAACATGAAGCAGGCAAAAAATGCTCAAAAATCAACATGCCTCCTATATGAAGAAATTTACCAACAGATGAGACACCTTGATGGTCTCAAAGACGTTTGGGGGAAATATTTTTTGAACGTTCGAGACACAAGGTATAACGTTTTGGAAGGAGTGCCTCCCGTTACATTTTTAATAAAACTCAACAGTATTTCAGAAAAAGAACATCATAACAACAGTTAAATGGTACCGACATTGTGGTAGTGTAATGGCCTTGGACTCCTTTTTGACCTGGATGTCTTGCTGTTTGATTGATGGAACCATGAAAATCCTGATTGAGAATGTCCACCTCAATTTGTGACCTTAAGATCAAGCGCTCTTGGATTTTGCAACAGCACGATGTTCTGAAGCACACCAGGAAGTCCAGAGATTAAAAAAAGGCTTTGAAACTGGCCTAGTCAAAGTCTGGAGTCAATCTGATTAAGAATCTGTAACATCTCAAACAGGTTTTTCAAATCTGGCTGAAAGGATACAATTCTGCTAAGAAGAGTGGCCCAAAAGTCCTCCGCAGTGATGTTAAAGACTCGTTGGCAGTAAGAGCAAACACTTGATGATAGCTGTTGCCAAAGGTGGCACAAGCAGATGTCTTTTCACACAGTGGCTGATTGGATTGGATGGTGTCCCTTTATAAATGAAAACTGCATTTTGTATTCAGCCAGGCTATCTTTGTATGCTGCAAGATAAATGTTTGATGATCCGAAACATTTAACACCTGTAAGGGGAGAGCCCTGTACCAGCTACGCACAGTATCTGACATGTATTCATTCACGGCCATAATGGCATGAGGTTAGAATTAGTTTTTCATCCATAGTGTTTGGCTGGACCTTCTGGGCTCTTCTCTATACATCTGCTCCATGTCAGTGTTGGAGCGTTTAACCTATTAACATCTTCTGCTCTGCTGCAATGTTGCCTGGATCATTTAGGCAAGTAAACAGACTCTCCTAAAGCGTCTCTCGTTGTCACACAAGGTCTCATACTGTGATATTGTGATAGTTATGAACTGTTTATGGAGGCAGAGAGGGGATAAATAAACATTTTAATAAAAGTGCCGACAGACCAAGTAGCGGAGTCATGGTGTTTAAATTTTGCAATAACCGGATAACAAAACATGCCGAAATGCTCTATAAAGACACTCCTCCTTGTTGTCATCACTGCTGATCAGCTCTGGCGAAGGTCATAAAAACATGAAGAAAGAAAGTTTTTGATAATGTTTAATGCAGATTCGAGTTGAAAGACTAAAATCAACCCTTGAAGCAACATCTGGATTTGCTGAAAGTTTATAAAAGCAATAAAAATCTTGCACATATGCAACTGAATGCTAACTCCCTTAAAACTATTATATAAATGAGAATTACATCATAACGGCATCATGGAAACAAGAGCTATCATGGCCTTGTTTCCACTCTCTCATATAAAGGGAATTATACAAGATATACAATGCCTCCAAAAAGTATTCATGCCTTTTGAACTTTTCCACATTGCCAAGTTACAATTAAAAACATCCAGGTAATTTTACGTACCCAGACCACCACTACACACAGTAGATGATACATAATTTATATTCAACCCCTTTAGTCTGATGCCCCAAAATAAGCCAAATGATTAAAGAAGTCGCCCGATTAAAAGGGTCCACTGATGTGGGATTTACTCTTAGTATAAATACAGCTGCTCTGTGAAGTAATTAATGACTTGCATCTTTTAGACATCACTTTCATCATGACACTCGTGTGAACTGCGGCGTGCACAGCCAGATGCACACAGTAGGGACCATTTAATTTATCCTCTGATCGGCTGTTTAAAGAAGTTTACAGAGCACTGGCCAAACCTTTGCCCCTTGGTTTCGCCACAAATTGTTAGCAGCAGAAATGTAAAACCCGCTGGTGGCCGCGTCTTGCTGTGGGGCTGGTTTTTCTTCTAAAGGGAAGCTACTCATGGGAAGACCTAAATCCCATTTAGAGAGTCTGTGGCAATGAATGTTTAAATGCTCCCTTTTAGGGCTGCGGCTAACAATCATTTTAGTAATCGAGTATTTTATCGATTAATTCTGGAGATTAATCGAATTCAAAAATTGTCACATTCTGCAGATTCTTCACTTAACTACTTGAGCCTTTTTTACAAGTAATAGAAATAAATACAGCGGATGTTTCCTGCTCAGGTGTTGCAGTATCGAGGACGTGTTGTATTTTCTTTTTCTGTTGAGCTTAAAGTAAATGGTAAATGGACTGAACTTATATAACGCCTTTCCAGTCATACAGACCACTCAAAGCCACATTCACCCAATCGCACTCACTAACTCTCACACATTCATACACCGATACGCAGATTGGTAGACAACTTGAGGTTAAGTGCCTTGCCCAGGGGCACATTGACATATGGCAGAAGGAGGCTGGAATCGAACCCACAACCTTCTGATTGCAAGACGACTACTCTTCCCACTGAGTCTCCCTCCATAACTGCACTTGGCATCCACATATCAGCAGCGTAGGCGGTCATTAGCGGTAGACGAAAGCGTTGTGCAACACAAATAACCACCCGGCCGTGCGCTGAATAGTTAAACAGAGTTTAACGAAGCCTCGAGAGATAATTTGCCTCGAGGAATTTTAGTGATTGAGTTACGGGAATCATTCCAGGAATCTTCTCAGCCCTACTCTGACTAAAATGTCAGCGTCTTGTGAAAAGCTGGTAGACACATCCCATTAACATGTGGCCACGCTATTCAGGTTTTTATTTGCAAAATCTTATGAAAACTGACTTGTTTTTCTTCCACTTCACAATTTTGAACCACTCAATGATGGTCTATAGCATGAAATCCCAGTAAAATACATTAAGGTTTGTAGTAGTAAAGTGACCCAACGTGAAAAAGGTCAACCTGTATGAATACTTTTGCAAGGTACTGTATGAGTTCACATTTATACTATATTCAACGAAACTAAATGGTTAAAGGATAAAAATGGGCTGGATGTCAATACAAATACTACTGCACAACTCAAGGTATTAAGTTATTTAATATTTTCCTATTTGGGCCGTGAACAGAGCGACACAGCAGGCATACACGGCCGCTTTTTCCATTATGTGTTTGCAACGAGGGCACCATGAAGACAGCGGTGGAAACTCCAGCTGGCTTCACGTAACTCATAGCAGCGTACTTTCTCTCAGCGAGTGTGGCGAGACCAAATCGCATTGAGGGCACAAAGAGTGGTCCGCGCTGCCACCAGCTGGGATCCTGCGGGGTCCCTCTGAAAAGTGTACACTGCTCCTTCTCTCCCTCTACACCACAGCTGTCATCGCCTTCTCACACCACCAACCCCAATCAGGCTGCTGATTTCTATGTAAATATCCTCTCTAGCTCAATTTCACTTTTTGTTTTGCATCATTAAAATCAGAACAAGCCAGACAAACTACGCCAAACTAAACCTCTGCAAGAGCTTTAACTGTTCTTTTTTCTATTTGCAAAAAAAAACAGCAGAACATGAAGCAGTGTGACAGTGAATGAAAGCCTCACAAAGCCAGAGAGGTTTGTGCTTTGGGGCGAAACACACATGCATTAGCAGGGCTCAGACTTTACAGCATCCCACTGAGCTGTGGTGCATGCTGTTTTTATAAGGCTACAGTGGTAACCTTGAAGGCTGGTAATCAGTCTCTGCCCCAGCAGCTCAAAGAGGAAGATGCATGAGATCACAGCGACTCTCGATGTGCTTAATACCAAGAACTGGTGAGACTCCCATCCTCTGCATCACTGTGATATGTACCTCGGTGTGGAAGCTCTGGTTTCAGATAAAAGGTGAAAGCAAGGAGCTGGGGTGATACCAGGAGATTATGGGGAACGTAAGGACATTCAAATTCCAAAGCCGAAGATCACTGATAAAGAAGTTGTGTTTCACTTATTTATACATGATTCATTTGAGGACTCAACCAAATCCACCTGACATGTTAAACATACCACTTATGGACATTTTACAAAATTATTTACTCACTGTTTTATTTGGCGAAATGTGTGTACTATCTTTTAAAACATGTCAACAACGTTGAACTGCATCATTTCCCGGTTAAAACCAAAATAATGCAGATTTTTGATTAATCTAATAAGCATATGTCTATAATTCTTTTTTGTTATAAAAATACAAACAAAGATAACGTTTGTGGTGAGTAGCCGAGAAGCCCAGCTAATGCCTCTCACTCAATATAAAGAATGGTGTCAAACCAGCTGCCGTCTCTACATACAGTGTAGTAACTCACCTCTGGTTGGATGGCTTTGAACACAGGAGCATCCATGAGGGTAATCTGGCCCTGAAGGAGACAACACAGCAGCTGTTAGATTGGCTGAAACGAAAGACAGAAGTCCCAGTTTCCCTCAACAGCAAATCCCTCAAAAGGTCAAAATGATTGCCAATAACCCTTTTTACATCTGGAAAAACCTCATTTACTACGGGGTCTAAGAGGACCTGTAGAACCTTAAGTACATTAAAAATGCCTTTAAATCTGAGAGAGAGGAGTCTGAGACAAAAATGAAGACTAGACTGCCATCTTGTGGTTACAAATGGCGGAAAAAGCAATTGAAGACAAACATTTTAACAACAGGTCATGAAACAAATCTTCCCATTCTAATTATAATAAAGGAAATAAGGAATCACAGAATGAAGCCAGTGTGTATTACAGCCATGACTCTGAAGTTTATTTAGAGACACCACTGGGAAGTTTGTGCAGTGGCAGCTGGGGGAATGCTCTTAATGCCGACTTGGCACTGCCAAACATCATTAATTATTACTGAACCAGACCTCATTTCCTCCCATATAACTCCATCTCCTCCCGTCTCTGTTCAGCTCTTCCCATCGGTGCTTACTGAACACGCGGTTTAACTAGACGGGAAGAAGACAGATACAGACATCTAAAACCGGACTCACTGCATACTCCTCGGGAGTGACCTTCAACACATCGAACACGACGGCATCGAAACTCTTCTTCAGCTCTGAAGACGCCTTATCACTGAGAGATTCTGAGCTGCTGCTCTTCTGTGCGGGAAAAACAACAGAGAACAAAAAAGTCAGAACTAATGGCTCTATACGGAGAAGAAATAATGTTTACATTTTTCTTTGAGCACTGTCCGACGTCTGCCGATTTCAATTTTAAATGATTCCGATTTTCTTTCCCTCAAGACTATAAACACATAAAAATGAGCTGCAGGTTCTTTAATGGGAGGTAGAAGTAAAGAATCCAGCAGAAAATGAAAGAATTACAAAAATACCCAAACATATTCATCAAAGCATATGTTGCAAACCTACATCTGACATGAATGACTCTGTGTGGGATGATGTACATAACAAAGCTATGTGTTTTATGCATTTATGACAATGAAGGAAAATTACAATCTTGTGTGCATTTAATGGGCAATACAGTATCTTATCTTATTATTAAACTCAGAAGAAGTGCATGAAGGTGTGTGCAGTGGTTGATGCATTTAAAAACCAAACATGGTGGTTGATCATCAATCGGAACCAATAAAGGAAAAATTGGCTGATTCCGATCCCTGGATGATCAATTGGTGCATCTTCAGCAATCAGGGGTGCAGGCATGGCCTTACCTCTGAGGCCGTTGCAGCAGTGTTGGAGATGCTTGACTGGCCATTAGGAAGGTCCATTATTCCCATACCATCGAGCTTCAACGCAGGAGACCATTCATCGCTATCAGCTGCAGTAAAGCCTGCTCGGCTCTCTGGACGTAAACAAGCAGAACGAATTAAACAAAAGCTTTCCTACAACATCTTGGTCATTAGTGCCTTTATTACTATATTGCAGCACCACCTAGTGGATGGAATAAGTACATATCACTAGACTTGGAAGACAAATCATTACAACAGGCCTCTTCAATGTACCCTTTAAAACGAGAAGATTTAATTTATGATGATAATAAGAGTGCCTTTAGGCTCAGCTGCTGTCCCAGGAGACTTGCCCGTGCCATATGAATACACACTTTCACAGCCCGTCTTTACCACACTTGAGAACAACAGAACAGAAGGAGCTTAGGCTTGAGCATTAGTAGAAGATCTAATGTGCAGGGAGTTTGGAGTTGGTTCGGTCCACAGCACTAAACAGCTTACTCAACCTGCTGCCAGGCGGACCAACCATCCTGTTCAGAGCACATTCTAAAGCATTGCAGAGATGATGAGTTTCATATTATCACAGCATCTGAAACCTGGATGAACACAGTGGACAGATCACTGAATTTTAAAAGAATGGAAGACATGACAGCTGGACTGATGATGTGTTTGCATCAATAGAAATTTGTACAAAAAGGATAAAAATGTCATAATAAGTTGTATTTATTGAACACCTGGGTCCAACATAGACACTTTCAATGAATAGATGGAGAACCTATTTAGTGGGGGAAAAATACAAAATTATATTTATTTGTGGTGACTATAACATTGACAGACTTGTTCAATACTAATAACCACAGGCCCATGGGTAATTTTATTGAATCTATTTGCTGAAAACAAAAGACCCAGCAAAATCACATCCCATTCTGGACCCTGATTGATAATATTTTCACAACTCATATTATAAATAACTCAGTAGGTGGACTATTAATCAGCAACCTCAGCGATCATTTACAAGTTTTTATAATATATGACAGAAATTACAAGAATAATAAATTAGAAAAACTAAATCTTTTCACAAGATTAAAAACAGAGGAATCAATTAAAACATTTCAGAAGGATCTAATGGAGGTAAAGTGGGACACCATCTATCAACAAAATGTATTAATGTAGCATATGAAGCTTCTCTAAAAATATTCATAGAATTATATAACAAACATTTTCCAGTGAAGGTGTACAATAAACACAATAAGATAAATCTGTCTATGGATTGCAAAAAGAAAAATACACTTTATAAAAGTTACATCAGGTTAACAACTAAGAAATGAAAAATTAAATAAACATTTTAAGGTCTTCCAATAAAGGTTATAATAAAAAAAACCTATTTGATGAAAATAAATAAAGAAATATGGAATATTCAAAATAGTATAATAAAAACAACTAATAAACCAGAATAGCCAACCTATTTTATTGATATAAATATCATAATTATAAGATAAATGAAAATGCAGACGTCTTTAACCATATTTCTCTACATTTTGGGCCAGATGTATCTACACAGGTCCCTGATCCACACTAAAGTTAAACAGAACCTCCAGCTCAACGATCCTCGGTGCTGTGACTGAAACAGAACCACTCGATCTGGCAAACAAAGGTCGGACAAAAACGTCCACCTGAGGTACATGACATTGCTGAAGAAAGTACTCGATGGGATCTCTAAATCGTTAACGTATATAAGCAACGTGTTATTTCAAATGGGTTCATTTCGAAATAAAATGAAAATAGCCCAGGTAAAACCACTATAGAAGAACAGGAGAAACATCTCTTCACTAACTACAGACCAGCCTCTCTGCTGC